CCATTTGAGAGATAGGTGGCGGTAATGCACTTATAAGTCTGTGATCTGCCGTAAAGCTAGAAGAAGAAGAAGACGCTAACGCGCTCAGGACAGTTCAGACATTGCGGTAAATCAGAGGTAAAAAAACCCCGATATAAATACTGTTCAGTTTCTTGCACAGACTGATCGTTTTGTGTCTTTTCACATCAATGTATCATCACGAGCCGCAGGGTTTAATCTGGTTTTGTTTGTGTATATTTTATGACTCTCAAAGCCGTGATTCCCATCCACTGACATTATAGGACTGACAGACTGCAACGGTTTGATTTAATCTCCGTTTGTGTTCTACTGAAGAAACAAAGTCACCTACATCTTGGATGCCCTGAGGGTAAGCAGATAAACATCAAATTTAAATTTTTGGGTGAACTATCCCTTTAAGAGCACTAAGTAGTCCTAGGTAAGAAGTTTCAGTGTCCAAAATGGCAGAATTAAAGAGTAGGTTTTGGCAGTAAGAGGATGGAAGTGAGTGCTGGTCATTCACTTCCCCCCCACCTACAATCCCTAGAGACTTGAACCTGCAGCCTGTCAGACTTGTAACCCAAAGGTCATGGGTTTGTGCAGCAATAATGGCTGCCCACTGCTCTGGGTGTGTGTTCACTACTCACTCCTGTGTGTGTGCGCACTTGGATGGGTAAAATGCAGAGCACAATTATGAGTATGGGACACCATACTTTGCCACAAGTCACTTCACTTTGTGTAAGAACATGTTTTGTTCTACAGCAGTATTTCTCAATCCTGGCCCTGGGTGCCCCCCAACACTGCACATTTTGTGTCTCCCTAATCAAACACACCTGATTCAACTCATTAGCTCATTAGAAGAAACTCCAGGACCTGAAATGGGTGTCAGATAAGGGAGGCATACAAAATGAGCGGGGGGACCCAGGACCAGGGTTGAGAAACACTGTTCTACAGCATAAATTACACAAGTTGCTAAATAAGAACTACAATGGTTGTCTGATTTGTCAAGCTCAAAAACATATCCTTGAAGAAGTTCTTGTGAGTAAAATTTACATTTGACTGGGTAATTTGTTATTCACACTAGTCATAAGTATATGTATGCGTATAAATGAAAAAAATAAACGTGATATATTTTTTCAGGATTCTTTGATGAATAAAAAATTCAAAAGAACAGCATTTGATTTTTTGATACAAAGCAAAAACAAAAAAAAAGAAAGGGAAAGTTGTGACATTTGCCAAGTATGGTAACCCATACTCGGAATTTGTGCTCTGCATTTCACCTATTCAAGTGCACACAGACAGACAGAGCAGTGACAGTGAGTAGTGAATACACACACCCGGAGCAGTGGGCAGCCATGTGCAGTGGCACCTGGGGAGCAGTTGGGGGTTCGGTGCCTTGCTCAAGGGCACATCAGTCGTGGTATTGAAGGTGGAAGAGAGCACTGGTCAATCACTCCAGTAATGAGTAACTACCAGTAATGAGACTCGAACCTGTGACCTTCAGGTTACAAATCCGACTCTAACCATTAGGCCACGACCGTCACTTTTTTTTATATATATATATATATAAAATATTTTATTTAATTTGTACATTTCAAAGCTGGAAGTGGTGGAAAGAGTACTGAAAATTTGTACTTGAGTACAAGTACCAGGGCTCACAAAATTTCAAAATCCCTGGTAGCCCTTCGGGCAGGTACTCTTCAGATATCGGTAGCCCGAAAAATAATTTAACTAGCCCAAATAAGACCTTTTATATCTATCTATCTATCTATCTATCTATCTATATATATATATATATATATAAAATCAGATAGTTTAAATGTCAATCAAACATATTTTCAATACACAAATATGAAGGAAGGAATTTTATTTCACTATTTACAGGTTATCTGCAGAATTTTTAAAAATAAATTTAAGGCAATTTATGACCCATTTTAAGAGCTGCACAAGTTAAATGAGCACCGTATGAGTGGTGTTGGACAATGCCAATGTCTATGGTAACATACAGTATTGAGCCATAAAATTACATGATTTGCAGTTCAGATACAGGTTTTCACTAAAACAAAATCTTATACAACAGCATTTCAGCCTTTAGACCATTTTTATGAAAAGGGATAATTCAAGCATATAAATTGTTAATTTAAAGCTTATAAATATTACTGTCTTAATTGTTTAGATTTTTAGAAGGCACATTAACTTCTTTCTCATTTACAACTCTGTGTTTGCTGTGTAAAATCATGAGTTGATATTTGCATTGATCTGATCTGACCATAAACAGCAAGGAAGTCTTGTTGGAAATGCAAATTCATTCTCTGCCACGAGGTGGTACTGCTGAAATATTGTGGTTTCCCCAGTAATGGCTGTACACAAAGCAGCTCTGCGCTCATAAACGCTGCTTTATCAGGAATTATAGGTAAAATGAAATAAAAATGCCAACGACACGTGTCTGAGGACAGTCGGTTCCCTTCAGATACATTCAAATAAAGACATCCACGCCGCGTTTTTACTTGAAACGTGCAGCGCTCATCTTTATTCAATGACATCATTGCCTTTTGAAGTTTAATCCAGCCGTATCGCGACACTTGTCTTTCCGTCCCCAACTGTAAGACCTCTTGAAATTATAATTAAG